ATCTCTACACAACTTTTGAGTCTAATACACTGTAGCATTAGTGAAGAATCTGACAATTCACCGGAAAAAGAACGTGACGAACTAGTTGAACACGCTCGAGACATGATCGATATTTCCAATGGCTCGGAAGGTGCGGACAACAAAGCATCTGGCTCCGGGTTTTTCGGCAGAGATGGCCAAAAAAGACTCTATTTGAATTCCAAAGTGATATATGCCGACGGCAAGGAGGCATACATTCTGCGGCCCAACCTGCAACCGTCAGCGTATTACGGGCGACGTCCGCTAGCGAACTACATCCGCAAAGGTCGCAAGATTGGCATTCAGGTTGTTCGAGGCTTTGATCAAGAAATCTGGGATAGGATCTATCCACCGAAAAAGGGGGCTAAATTCGAAAAGGCCAGAGAAGGCGTATCCAGCTCCATGGGCGGTGTTCACCCTGGTCGGCGAATGAAGCTCGACTCTGCTCTCTCTCATTCCGACCGCCCAGTGGTGACTGACCTCGTTCTCGTAATCCATGGCATCGGTCAAAAGCTCTCTGAGCGCATCGAAAGCTTTCACTTCACGCATGCCATTAATGCCTTTCGCAGAGAAGTCAATGTGGAGCTAGGCAGTGATGGTGTGAGAGGAAACCTGAGGAAGGATATTGGAGGAATCATGGTGCTTCCGGTAAGTTGGCTGCACTTGGATGCGTCACCAGACTAACTCGATCTAGGTCAATTGGCGGCTCAGCCTCTCGTTCGAAGACGGAGGCTATCGCGATGATGATGTCGAGGACCCAGCTCTCAACCCGTTCAAGCTCAAGGACATTACGCCGGATACCTTGCCATCCGTACGGAATATAATAAGCGACGTCATGCTGGACATTCCCTACTACTTGTCTGTGGAGCATCACTCGAAGATGATTGCTGCTTGCATAGGAGAAGCCAACCGGATCTACCGACTGTGGTGCAAGAATAATCCTGGATTCGCGGAATGGGGACGTGTGCATATCCTGGCCCATTCCTTAGGAAGCGTCATGGCCCTGGACATTCTTAGTCACCAACCTACTCATGTCGACAAAGCCTTTGGTGATCCAAAGACTCCCGAGGAAGATCTCCCAAAGAATCAGTTCCTTTTCGACACGACCGACCTGTTCCTTTGTGGCAGTCCAGCTGGATTTTTCCTGCTGCTGAAGAAGGGAGCTCTCAGACCAAGGCACGACCGGAAGAAGCCAGGCGGTCCACATCAATTCAGCCCTGGCGTTGCTGGCGAGAAAGACACGTACGGCTGCATAGCAGTTGATAATATTTATAACGTCGTCAATCCCTATGATCCGGTAGCATATCGACTGAACGCCACTGTCGATGCCGACTACGCCGCGACCCTCAAGCCAGCTATTGTACCTAGCGCAGCCACGTCCTGGCTCAATCTGTCGAATCCCTTCCGCAATCCTCTCGGAGGGGGAGATTCATCAGTCGTGCCATTCCGCGCTAGCATGCCACGGCTGCCGTCCAACGTGGAGCTGGAGACGCACAACTTTAGCCGCGAAGAGATTGCCGAAGAACGCGCTTATGCGCTTAACGACAACGGACAGATTGACTGGTTCCTCAAGTACGGCGGCGGTCCGCTCGAGATTCAGTATCTGACGATGCTGGGGGCGCACAGTAGCTACTGGATTTCGAGAGATTTCGTCAGAATGCTTGTGATGGAAGTAGGTCGGCCGTTTGGAAGGGAAGGCACCATCTTGCCAATGAGAGCGGCCAAGAGGAAAGATCGGTCTTCTTGAAGCGTCCATCTCCCTCTTTTGCTGTTTGGCGGTATTTGTCCTGCGTAAGGCGCTGGAGTGGCAGTTTGAGCGTTCATGATTTTATTAATTTCCTGGTTGTCTCTTGTCTGTTTACTTTGCGCTGTCGGTTTAATGATGGTAGAGATTTGGGATGGGCACAAGATGGCAGTAGACAAAAATAATTGTACCATTGAATGTATTTTGAGAGGAATTATGAACACCGGCACCTAAGACTGTGCCACGGAAAGTGGTGTGTGTGAGCGTTGAATTGCTTGGAGCCGGGTGTGTGGCTAGTGCCCAGCCTGGCGAACCGGTGGGGCAGCTGCCGCCACGTCTTGGACTGCGGTTGCTGCCTTTGCTCACCACTTCCCAGGGCAACCCTACCCATCTCGCTTTGTCTCTCGTGCATCCCGCTGCTGCCTTCGTCATGATCGCAAACCAACACCATGGACCAAAGCGATTCTCTCCGGAGGAAAGAGCGCTTGTTCAGCGCCATTTTCGCCATGGACCAGGACGAGGGAGACGACGTCGACATCAACGAGGGTTGGGATGTTTCTTCTGGACGCACAAACCCAACTTCTAACGGCCATCGACATCAGTCACATCAATCCTTGGGACACAACATTGCATCTTCTTCTTTGACCCGCCCGGCGTCTCCTCGTAATACAACACCTCGCCAAAGCCACACCTTGTCCACTGATCCTGACCGCACCAACACCTCTCTCGACAAGATTTCTTTTGTAGAAGAAATGCCTGGAGCAGAAACTCATCCGCATGAGGATACCAAAGCGTCCGCTGACCCGCCTCTTACCTCGTTTGCAAAGCTACCACGAGGCCGTGGCGCAAAGATGCGTGACGCCAAAATTAGCCTCGTGCCCGAAGATCAACGCATCTTCAAGAACCTGGTCTTCTTCTTTTTCCCAAACAACGACGCGCATGCTGGTCGCCGCATGAGAATCACCAAGGCTCTCGAGTATGGCGCAACCTGGGTCGTAGAGTGGTGCCCATACATCTCTCACGTCATTGTTGACAAGAACTTTCAATTTGACAAGATGAAGGACTGGCTCAAGAAACATTCTTTTCCGGAACATTTTCCCCGAGGAGCCAAAGTTGTGTCGGAAAATTGGCCTTCTGACTGCATAGTTTACAAGTCCTTGACTGACGCAGATTCGCCTCAGTACCGTGTCACGGGCTATAATCCCAACCCCAAAGCTGTGGTTATCTCGGAGGAACCATCAAGCATCCCCTCATCGCAGTCTCTCCAATTGAAGCCGTCCAAGCAGGACGTGATGGCCCGCGAACCATATACACAGTCGCAGGAGGAAGGCGGCTTAGGAAACTTGAAGGACATCATCGACGTCCAAGCGATCCTCCACAGCGCTAATTTCAATAAGCAGCCTTCTGCAACATCTCAGGATCCCGACTCCAGTCAACATCGCCCAAAGAGCAATTATCTACTCGATGAAATTATTGCCGAGGCGAAGAAGACGGCGCATCTCGTAGGTTCCATTGCTGGATGAGCTTCCATGTTGCGTCTAGTTGCAGTTTTGATTTGATTCCCATTCTGACCTTGGTCCTTCGTCATAAACAACAGTATACTGACTCTATCCCTAGCCTCTTGATTCTGACGATGAAGAAATATCAACTGTGCCGAGCGAAGACCAACCACGCAAAAAGAAGGCCAAAAAATACTCGTCTGTAAGCAATCAGAAGGAGACCTGGCAATGCATGAAGAAGAATGATGGCAAAGGCGACAGAGAAAACCCCAACGCTAGAACCATCGAAGTCCTCACTGAAATGGGCCATTACTATGACCGCATTGGAGACGAGTGGCGGTGTCGCGCATACCGCAGAGCCGTCAGTACCCTCAAGAAACAAGACCAGAGAGTTATGTCCAAAGAGGAAGCGTTTGAACTCCCATTCATCGGCGAGCGGCTTGCGACTAAAATCGAAGAGATTGTCTGGACAAATCGGCTTCGCCGCTACGACGCTACTCTGGTCGACCCCATGGACGCCGCAATGCAGACTTTCACGCAGATCTACGGCGTGGGCGTCTCCCAGACATCCAAGTGGGTGATGCGAGGCTTCAAGACTCTCAACGATCTGCGTGCCAATAACGTGCCCTTGACACCAGCACAGCAAGTCGGCGTCGACCACTATCAAGACTTCAACACACGCATCCCGCGGGACGAAGTCACGCAACACGCCGCGCTCGTCACGGCTGCACTCCACAGAGTTGACTCAGGCTTTACCGTCACGGTTGGAGGATCGTACCGTCGCGGGTCCACTTCATGCGGCGACATCGACATGCTCATTTCGCACACGAACGCTCCGCTGGCACGCTTACACGCCGTCGTCCTGGATGAGCTTGTTCCACAGCTCATGCAAGCCGGATACCTCAAAGTGGCGTTGGCGGCGGCGTCGCGCAGCGAGACAGGATCCAAGTGGCACGGCGCCTGCGCCTTGCCTGGCAGCGCGTACATCACGACCGAACACGCAGAGGAAATCTCAGGACAGATGGAGGAGCTCCCAGAGGGCCCATGGCGCCGCATCGACCTGCTACTCGTCCCACACACCGAGCTGGGCGCTGCGCTGATCTACTTCACGGGCAACGACATATTCAACCGCTCCATCCGCCTCCTTGCGAGCCGCAAGGGCATGCGCCTGAACCAGCGCGGCCTCTACAAGAACGTCATGAGAGGCCGCAGCCGTGAGAAGCTGACCGAGGGCGAGTTGGTCGAGGGAGCGGATGAGAAGAAGATTTTCGAGATTCTGGGCGTGCCGTGGAGGAGGCCGGAGCATCGTATCTGTTAGATGCCGTGGAAGACTGGGGAGGTTGTGCAATGGCTGACCTACTGGAAGACCCATGGGGGCCTTTGGATGATGAAATGGGAGCTCTTGACGGAATCGAGGTTTGCGTTAGGACTCAGTTCGGCGAGCTCTAGTTTCCATCCAGTGCGTCTATCATACCTGAATAATTCTGCCCATGGGTAGATTCGAATAAAACCTCTTTGGACCGGGTACACTTGCTTGTCCTTGACCATCCAAGTTCCTCCCCCCTCCGCTTTCCCATCACCCCCTTCTTTCCTCTTTGTGCTCTTCATACTCGACCACATTGGGAGCAGTCGTCATGTCGGCGAACCAACACACCAAAAAAGCAAATGCGCCGCCCTTCAACACAGACCCCATCTACTCATCACCAACACTTCAACAACCAAAAGAAACACCTTGCTTCTCCCATCGCCGAGAATCGAACTCGGGTTTCCAGATGTAACAGGCCATCCTCCTGTTGGAGAAAAGCGGCCAATCATTCACGAGTCCACCGGGTCCAGGTAAATCGGGGTCTGCGACGGGAGCATCCCGGGGCCTGTGTGCGGTCTGGCGTGCTTCCAACTGCACCGCGATGGATTTGTCATTAACGTTGTTGTTGTTGTTCACGGGGGACCGGCGGGGTCCATTTGATCATATATGTATGTTTTGTGTGGTGTGGGGTATTGGAGGGGAGGGAGGGAAAGGGGAGTTGGTGGAAGGAGAACTCGAAGTATTCGTGGATGGGTACATGTACCTTCTGAGCTTAGCTTCTTCCTTCTTTCTACGTAGTCATGTCATGTCTCACGAACCAGCAAACAGCAGTCCTTCAAAGACTCTTCGTCCCTTCATGCCTTCATATCTATCCATCAATCCTCAAGTCACGTCATCCAACTCGTCTAACGCATCCCGCCACCGCTCAACATCACAGAATCCGCTCAAACGCCTCGCATCGCTCTTCCCGCTTCTATCTCTCGCTCTCGCGCTGCAAACTGTTCCCCCCCCCCCCCCCCCCCCCCCCCCCAACGGCTCCAAACAATGTCTACTTCCGCAAACCATTCCGCTCTCGACTCAGTCCGGGCACCTCTGTGCCAAAAGGGTAATCAGCCAGCCGGCCAACCCGCCAAAGCTACCTCAACAAACCGCATGCTTGTAGAAAAGAGCGTCCGTCTTGCGCAGTCCAGCACACGAAGCCCACTGGCAGCAGCACCATCATCATAGTTTCCACGCCTATCGAGGAAACGAACGTAAAGATCTTGAAGGCTTGTATGAAACAAAGCGAGCGCACGAAGAAAAAGAGGCACACGAGTTGAGAGAAGCAGACGAGAGTAGCCCGCCGAAAAGTCTCCAGGAGCCTCAATCTCCTTCTTTTTGGTTGGGTTTGGTTGAATTCTGATTGGTAGCAGCTATGAAGAGTGAAGGGAAAAAAGAGAGGTTGTTTGGGGGTGTGTAAAAAAGAAATTCGTCCAAACCAGAGTTGTGCAGCGCATGGAGAGCAGCAAGAAACCAAGGCCAGAAAAAACCCGACGCCCGCCCCTGACTGAGTGGCCATCCACCGTCGTGCAGGTGCTGTGCTGAAAGGGGTGGTGGAATTCAAAAAGAGTCGTGTCGTGTGATGGAAAGGAGGAAGGTGGTGGTCAAAGCCATTGGTCATGATGATCGTGTGTGCGCAATAGGTGTGGTATAAACTGTAGTGTGACCCAGAAAAGCAAAAAGAAGAAGGAGAAGAAGCAAAAGGAGACTCGTCAATGATGTCGCAAAAGAGACCCCCAAAAGCAAAAGTTGGTCTTGTTGATCCATCCCAATCGTCGCTCATTTCACCCCCGTCCCGTTTGCACCTTGTGGCAATTCCTTCTTGTTGCTTTCCGTAATCCTCCCAGTGGATCGTTTCGTCGTCAAAAATAGGTCGGTCGAGTTGTCGTTCGTTCGCTCGCTCGTCTGGCGTCATCGGTCGACCAATAGACAGCAAGGAAATGGAAAAAGGAAATCTCGAATCGAACCTGCAAGTCAAAAAGAAGAAGAAAAAAATGAAGCAAAACAAAGTGCATCAGGCTAGCAGGTCGCCAACCGTGAACGGGGGTCGTTCGGCTTAGTATCTGGCGCCCATGGGTGGGGGCGGCAGGTTACCGGCCGAGTAGGGGTTTGCGTCTGCGTACGTCGGCGCGCCATAGCCGTAGCCAGCGGGCGGAGCTGTCGGGCCAGACGGGTTAGCAGAGCCATTACTGAGTAGGAGACGCTGATTCTGGATTTGTTGTTCGCGTTGTTGTTGGGCCGCACGCTCACGAGCCTTGCGCTTCTTGCGCCGCTTAGTCTCGAGATCGTGCACCAGATGCCGCTGCTCGTTCATCTCCTTCCACTCGCTGAATGCCGACTTGATTCCCAGCGCCGCGATACCCACCGCCGCCGCATCCTGCAACATGTTTTTGCTCTTGCGCTTGCGCGCCTCGTCGGGCGACATTTCACCCTCGGATACGAGCTTGCGTCGGTTCTCCGATGCGACCATCGATGAATACACCCCGTGTGCGGCGTGGATGGTGGCTACCGTGGCGAGGCCTGCCGTGAGGAGTTCCTTACCTCGCATTTTCTTCCGCTGGTATTCCATGTCTGTCGTCGACTCGGAGCTCATGCTGCTGCTGCGCAGATGTGGGCCGTTAGCCGGGCCAGAATAGTCGGCTGGGCCGCCGTCTCGAGACCGACCGTAGCGACGACCGCGCGAGGGCACGTAGCTGTCTTCACTCGAAGAGCTTCCTGATCGACGACGCCCTCGTGACTTGGAGCGCACGCGGTCGTAAATTGCTTTGCCAGCGGCAGCGATGGCGCCCGCACCCGCGAGGTTCTTGATGGCACCTCCTCCTCCTCCTCCTCCGCCCTCTTGACCTCCGACGGAACGACCACGAGATCGGCTACGGCCGAACAAGGACGCAGCGCGCGACATGGACCTGGAACGGGAACGGCCACGGGAGCCCGAGCGGTCTCTAGGACCATTGGCAAGGCGGTTGGCGACAAGACCACCAATGACGGCCTCGGCCGTGTGGCGTTTGCTTTTGCGGTTGGGGTCTCGGTCAACCAAACCATCAATACCAGCAGCACCTAGGGCCGCGGTTGCGATGCGGGTACCCTTTTCGCCGGTCCACGGTCCTGGGTCCTTGCGGCTGCGGAATGCCTCGACTGCACCGGCAACCAGAGCTGCTTGAGCGGCTTGCTGCCACTTGCGCTCAGACTTGCCGTGACGACCGCGACTGCGGCTCCGGCTATCGTAGCGCTCACGGTGGTCGTACCTGTCCTCGCGACCGCGGCTGCGATCTCTGCTCTTGCTGCGGGATTTGCCAAGGACGGTGCCAACGATACCTCCCAGGCCGGCGTCTTCGAGGAAGCCCTCGACGCGAGACTTGCGACGCTCCCGACGCGGAGGGCGATCATACTCGTCAGAGTAGTAAGCGTCTTCGCGGTGGGGGCGGCCACGAGGAGGGTAGTAGTCGTCGTTGTACTCGTCGTCGTAATAGTCGCGGCGACCGACGGAGCGGGCGCGTCTGATGGGCGGGCCGTAGTTTTCGCGCACTTTGGTCCTGCGGTACTCAGCGCCTGGCGGGGGGAAGTCGCGCGGAATGTCTTCGATGCTGTCATCGCGTGGGCCTCTGTAGACGAGCTCACGCTGGGCAGGGGCGTTTCCGCGCTGAACGTAGGTTTCTTCAACATACTCGGGCTCTCTAGTGCGGGTGGTGCGCGCACGGCGCAAGCCCTCGTCGAAGCGATACTCGGACATTGCGTTGACTTGACAACACTCGTGGAAGTGAGCGGTGGGCAAAGTCAAGCACCGAGAGAAGCGCCAAGGTTGGGTTTTGGCGGTGAAACAGGAGACGGGATCCAGGTAGAATAGGGTCGTGGCTGAAGGCGGGCGAGTCAGGGTCGAACGGACAGGTAAAGGTCGATGGCAGGAGAGGCGTGATCTTACCAGGTATGCAGGTGAAGTGGATGGGGATGATGTAGGGTGAGTCGAACGAAGCAACGAGGAAGCCGAAAGAGGGGCTGGAGTTGACGGCAGGCAGCGACGGGCGTGCGGCTGGAGTGGTTTTAACGGGGTCGCTGATGGGCTGGCCGGCGGGCTGGTAGGGGCCCTACAGCGTGCTGGGTCTGGGATGTTGCGAGTTGGCCTTGCTGGTTGGGTTGGGCTAGGGTTGGGATGCGATGGCCGAGCGGATGGGGGGGATGGTGGGATGGGAGAGCGAGAGAGGTGGACGTGGTTCTTAGGCGCGAGAGGCTTGTCAAGGAGGAAGCAGGTAAGCACAAGCGGCGGCACGAAGGCTGTGGCAGCACAAGGTCAGTCAGTCGTCTGTCTGTAGAGACAGACACCTCTCAGTCACTGGTGGGGTCGCTCTGCTGTGCAGTGACGTCGCCTCGGCCTTGCCACATGCCAGAGGCCAATAGGTAATTCCATAGTCTGAGGTATGCTGGTGGCCGCAGCACGAATGTCCCCGGCGGGTTTAGAGCGCCGTTTCTGACTCTTCTCGTGATGTTGTATCGCTACAGTACCCCGGCGGGGGATTGCCGAAGGAACCACTGGAAGTGAAGTCACGACTGATTCGCGCGCTGGAGCCACGGGACGGCTTCTGATCTGATCTGATCTGACAAGTTCGCCGGGCGCACTGGCTCGTGGCTTTGAAACAGCACAAACGCGACGGGAAAAGCTGAGGCTGTCGATGGCCTGTTGCTCTCATCGACGTTTCATGGCATCCGGAGCCTGACGGGAGCCGTCGATGGAGGACCTGACGTCCGGTGAGCCAGTGACAATGACAATGACAATGACGTCGCCCACGTGATGTTGCAACTATGATCTAATGTGTGGTTTGCTGCTCGGTCGTGGGCTACCTCATCGACAAGCATCCTCTGTCTTTTGCGACGCCCGTCTTACTCACACAAACTATGACCTGTCAGATCGATGCCGAACCTGCCAGAAGCTGAGCTGCGATCACTCCGATCACCTCCCGGTCCAAGGCCATGGCTGACCACGTGAGCCGGGCGCAGTGGGTGCATCTCGTATCAATCTTATCTCCCTTGGAGATCATCAATCCATCCTATCCTTCATTCAACATCAGATAATCGACCATCGATCGCCCCGCGTCTCCTCCAAAAAATTAAACCACTTGCCCTGCTCGAGCTCGAATAAGAGCCAACCAGGTCCTCCATGTCCGGCAACACGCACACCGACATTCTCCTGGTGAGACTCTTGCCCGCCCGCTCAATTCCCCCACCCTAACCATCACCCCCCTTGCAGGCCGGCGCATTTGCAGCTTTCACCGTTGACCTGCTCGTCTATCCGCTCGACACCCTCAAGACGCGCTGGCAGTCCCCCGACTTCTCGCGCTTGTTCTACAATGCCGCGACAGACACTGTCAACCGCCGCGCCCTCTTCCGCGGCGCCTATCAAGGCGTCGGCAGTGTCATAATTGCCACGCTACCCTCCTGTATACACTGCCCCACCACCCTCTACAAACCTATGACCTCATCACCCGTCCGCGTCTGCCAAAATCTCTCCACCACCGTCGCCACGTCCAATGGCCTAACTTGAACCCAGCAGGAGCATTCTTCACCACATACGAAGG